CCCTGTGCCCACCCCTCCCCCCCCTGTAAAGAGGGGGTCATACACACGTTGAGGTCGGGGGGTGGCGAACTCCATGCTCGCTAGGGGGACCGTTTGGGGACAACACTGCTTTAGTTCCACAATATTAAAAGATTTTGTTGTAACAATTAATCATTTTCTATCTGTCAAATCTTTCCCTGCCTAATGATTAATGTGAAATTTGAAGATATTCTAGACAGTTTTAGCCTATCAATCTGTTTGGAATTGCAAGATGAGCCTTAATAACATATTATTTATTTTTAATTTTTAAGGTGAATTTTGCCCTTTCATTTACAAAAACACCTTCATATTTCAGAAGAGTAATAATGCTACTGATTCACATTAATCGCATCTTGCTATCAATAAGTGTTCCTTCTACTGTGTTTGTGTGTGTGTGTGTGTGTGTGTGTGTGTGTGTGTGTGTGTGTGTGTGTGTGTGTGTGTGTGTGTGTGTGTGTGTGTGTGTGTGTGTGTGTGTGTGTGTGTGTGTGTGTGTGTGTGTGTGTGTGTAAGTATATACAAAATAAAAGAATTCAATTTATTATCAAAATAACTACTTTGTTCTTGCGACACAGTGGATTTTTCTTCTTCTTTTGATCAACATGCACACAGAGTATCTTGCATGCACTGAGTTGTTCTTGTCAGTTCCATCAGTTTCAAATGCAAAGTGTGAAATAAGACACTGAACATGAAAAAACATATCTAAAGTTTCTCTAAGTGTATGAAAAAAATGGCTTGAGTTTCTTAATCCAGCCTATGGAATTCATGGGAGGCCTTCAAAATCATAATTGCTGTGCCTGACCTATTTGGCAAGATTGTTTGGAAGATTAAAACTGCAAAAACACAAAGTAAACTAGGGTCTTCAGCACAGAGTATCTAGGTAACTTCTATTTGTGTCCCTCAGGTTTGAATTGTTTAGATATTCTTTCAATTCAAAACACACATATGAAAAATTGGCACAAAGCAATGCAAAGTATAAACCTTCAGCATTTCCTTTATTTACCAGAATATGTTTGGACCTTAACATGAGCCCTGAAAGTGTTCATAAAGAAAGAAGCTGGTGATTGCAGGCCATTGTTTCTTTGAAAATGAGCTAACCTAGGTGACAAAAAAACAAAGGTAAGGTGGAGTGGTAGGGAGGATCCAGGTATGGGTTTAAATTAGTAGGACTGAGCAAACTCAATAGCTTTTAAACTGATGTTTTATGTATTTATATATATTTGTTTTTAATGTTCGGTGTGAGTCGCCCAGAGTTCCCCTATTGTGGGGAGATGGGCGGGTGAGAAATTTCATAAATAAATAAATAGAGACAGACAGACAGACAGACAGACAGCACTCTGGGGAATGGGTATTCTTTTGACTGGCCACAGCTACCAGCTGTTTTGTGAATCAGGAAGCCACCCTCTCATCAGGGTAGCCATTTATGAGACAGTCTGTGGCATACTCTCAAAACTCCAAATTAAGATTCCTGCTCCAAGCATTAAAATATATATATATTTCAATTGCCAGCTTGCAAATGCTTTTTGATACAATAAAGTAAGAGGCTAACTTGAAAGGATGTGGGTTTTTTTTTCTTTTTTAGAACCAATCTCTTACCAGCACAAGTACTTAATGCAAATCCCACTCTCTTTTGGGCTCTATCAAAGATGACATAGAATCCTTCCATCACTGTAGCCCCAATAACCAAGGCACTGGAGGAAGAGGAGATACCAAACCGATAGCAGGCTAGATTCTGCCCAATCCCTAGAACAGGCTGAATGTAAAGCTGTTTTTTTTAAAGAAATAAAGGATAATTAAAGAACAGAAATATACATCCAATAAAGCCAAATGATTTTTAGAAACTGTAGAAAAAATGCAAAGCTTTAAAGGTGAGAGCTATCACCAGATACCAGTCAAAATGGCCAGCTTATCTTTCGTACCAACAGTTAAATACCTTCTGACTGGTATGCTTTATCCAGATCCACTTTAGCTTAAATACAGCTACTGTGGTGATAAAATCTAAAGAGAATTCTAAAGAATTGAGAGGAACACCACTTAAAAAAAAAGCTAAGCAGTCAATCTTGTTAATGGTTAGATGGGAAACCAGCAGGAAATCCTACCATTGTAAGCTAGGTTAGAGTAAGCTAGAACTTGGGAAAAATATTCTGGAAGAAGGCAAAAGCAGAGCATTTTCATATGATGCTAAAGAAAACAGTAGGGAAACTGAGCATGACTCAAAAGATCTTTGCCCTTTTAAAATTAAGCTGCTAGAAGGGCTGTGCAAGGATGCTTCATTCTGACAGAGGTTTGAATGAAACTTCCAAATTGCTTCTGAAACACCACATGCTCTTCCACTCTATTAGCAAAGCAGCCACGCTATTGTCCTGAGGCCTCCCGAAGCGCCAGTAACCAGCAAAGGCTGCTGTACATGCTGGCTTCTGTCCACACACAACACAGGAGCAGGAGCTCCAGGATTCAGAGCACCTGTCATTTCTTCCCATTGACACAGAGAACTGCTTTGCCTCCATGACATGAAACACCTCATCAAGGCAGAGCTAAGCCTCCTTCTGCTGGCCTTACTGTCATCAACCCAC